AAATCATTAGTATCAGTACACAGATAAATGTACGAGACATGACAGTTAGACCTAAACGTATCAAAACTGATTCACATACCCCAATAAATGTGACGTGTCACTTACATCTGGGGTGTAATGAACATACCAACACATCATGTTGCAGTTTTCTAGTTCATCTTGTTGAAGGCATCTTATATTAGCATTGTGTGGTTGCAAAATAATCATTAGAAAGCAAGAACATGTCCCTGGAAATGCAACCCAACACATAGCTAAGAAAATGAATGACTAGAAAACACGTTTTAACTATTGTGTTCACAGCTTATCCACCCAACTCAGAATGATGTATACTGTAACATACATTACAATGAATTTGCGTATAATGTCAAATGTGACTCGCACATATAAAATATACTCCTGACACCTCAACAGTACAGTAGATGTGTTTCTGTAGTATGTTAAAGGTAATTGACATGAAATCCAAAAGATTAGACTGACAATTGAAAATCATAAACAGCTAACGTACATTTCAGTTGAAACAATAAGTCAATGTATTCAACACATACATCGTGTATATCAAAATGTTTTGATTTTGCTTGACGCAATTACTCTTATGTAGCAAAGAACTCAAACTGCAATAATGCAAATTAACTAGAACAAACAATTGTTCCACAATATGTGACCAACACTGCCGTTTCAAGTAACGTACATTACAGTGAATCTATCCAGGATTGAAATGCCTGCACAACCAAAACAAAACTTTTTTTTTCGTTTTCATCCAACTTCAACATTCTCTGTAACACAATGGCTGATTTTGCTGCTAAGGCAGCACTCAACAAATCTGTGACACCAATTCTCATTCCATACAAAGCTGTCATTAGATCGTACACCCGTGATCTGATGCAGAAGAAGTGGGACACTCAAATAGGTATCAATACATTACATGCCATAAAACCCTATATTAGTTACACCTACTTGGGTTGTCAGTCCAGATTTGAAGAGGTCATCATGCGACGATGTCGCATTGGCCATACAAAATATACTCATGAATACCTGTTAAAAGGTGATGATCCTGCGTTTTGTATCCTTTGTGAAGAGAGAATCACGGTCAAGCATGTCCTCATTGACTGTATTGATTTTTCCATCACAAGGGACAAATATTTCAATGTCAAAACAATCAAGGATCTTTTTAAAATAATAATTATCATTTAATAATTGTTTTTGTAAAGGAAATAGAATTACTAGATAAATTCTGAGCCATATGTTTTGTGAATACATAAATGATATTTTATAAATGATATTTTAAATAAGCAACAGTGAACTACGATTATTAGTGGCTGTATCCTCAAAGGGGGTTAAAGTATTGTAAAATCATTGTCCTCTAGAGAGGACACAGAGGTCCCAAAACCTTCAAAGTCAATTTCAACTTTCCACCTTTTTAAATGTGGTATATTTGTTATTTTAAATTATGGCTGAATTTTCTTACAGGCGCCAGCAGCTTAAGGGGTGGTGTAAATCTAGCTAGGGTCCATGCAGGTAGCAAAAGCACTGTAAGTCCCCATGGTTCCTAGTATGGTGATCTACCTTCAATTGTTGGCGATGTATAGCCCGTGCCCGTATTGTATTGTCTTGTCTTCTGTAATTAATCTGTTTTAGAATTACATACTAGTTTTATACTTATATCTGTGATGTTCTAGTTGGTTTTACTGTCCTTCGCTGATTTACCTTTATTTAGTCTAAAATTATTGCTTGTTTGTAGTCAGGATATGGCTGAAATATTGCCGATGTGACTTTAAATCTTAACTCACTCACTCACTCAACATTCTCTGAGACTTGCCAGTAGGAACTACTTTACGCAAAATATCTGATCGCGACACCCAGATTACATCTTCGGGTTTGTGCCACTGAAACATATATTTCTTCTTCTCGAAGAAGAAATGTACGTTACCAGATGTTTTGCATGTGTTTCTTAGTAACAGATTCACATGAATACAGGTTAAATAGCTTAAGTAGTAGACAGAGTAAATCTATCTGCACACTGATATAATAACATCAGCTTGACAATATGTTAGTTCAGCACACTGTCAGGAAATGTGTCATGATACTATGAACAAGGACGAACAGTGGTAATTATATATTATGGAGGTTTCCATGGATCTTAATGCAAACAAGAATGGTATAAATATGAGTGAATAGAGTTGTCAACATGTCCTTCAAAAGACAACATTTACTTCGCAAGATATCATACAAGTATCACTGAAATTTCATTTGACAATTGGTGAAATGTATGCGTTACCAACTGTAGCATTACATTACACTTATTCAGTAACACCCATACAACGTATTTCTCATAAGATTCACCAAAATGACATTTCTTCAGAAAGTACGGGCTACAGATGAGGAACCAATGTGCAGATAAAGTAACTTTTCAGATATTTAGTCACCCTCATATTATCCTTACAAAAGACACCCAAAGCACTTACCGAAATTTGTTGATAATCATTTAAGTCGTAAGATATGGTCGGCTGTCGTACGTTCTAATGACGTATGCAATATAGCTATGTCACTCCACGTGTTTCAAAACAAGCTGTTTCACGTTCAGCGCCCTGTTGTTGACAGTTTGGTGTCTGATGGTAACGTACATTACGGTAACGTACATTTCTGTCATGTACAAGTTTGTCCTTATTGATCCCATTTTTTGTCGAACTTGACACATTTTATGACATATTGCTCAAAAACAACTTCATGCATTATTTTAATAATGACCTATATTTATTTAATCTCAAGTTGAGGAACAGTTGGTGGTCACGTACGTTACATCCATAACCATAACCATTGAATAATGACACATAAAATGAGTGTAGAAACATTAACCGATTCTTATGTAAGAACCAAATATTATTTTCTTGTAAAGTACATTATTATCCCTTAAAATAAACCCAAATAATTGTTTTTACTCTGTAAATATTGTTTGCGTCAATGTATTTATGAAGTTAGTCGTGTGTTGCATGAAAACTGGAGACACAGTTATAACATACTCTGCAAAATCCGCAAAACGATCACATCATTGGAGCTTAATAGAAATGTATTGTCACATATCTCGTTTATCATAATAATACTTTAGTTATGATATTTATTGCAGAATTCATTAAAACAAAGCCAATGACTTTTGTCAGTTCAGCCTGGAGACAGTAACGTACATTACAAAATCAGTAATATCCTTCCCTTGCGCTTTTGAAGTCTACATAAATAAACTGAATGGATGCCTGCTATAGTACACCCAAGTACCACTACATTTAATCCAATCATTAGATTAATCAAGGGCACTGTTGTTTTAGGATAAATAACCAGAGACATAAATGCAACGGTTTATTGAGAATGAGCGTACACAATACATCATGTTTTTGTGGAAGGTACGGGTTAGGCAGGTGACTGTGAGGGTGTGGGGTCTAATCCCAGGTGGAACTCAACCCAACAAAAGCATTAGAATAGGTACGTTTTCTGGGAAAGTGTAATTCCAAATATAATAAATGTTATATAGAAATCTTGATCAGGCCAGATTTTAAGAAAGAAGCTGTGAATTAAACATATAAATACACGTACAGTGTCTGCAAGAAAAAAGGAACAGAGTTGTTTTTTTCTAACAATGCAAGGTGTTTCATAATTGACTTTACTTCCACATACAACTACACATATATTCACATCAATTGATGCTCAAGAACATCAGTTAATCATAGGTTACCTCTGAAATAGCAAGCTAAATTTAACATCTGTCCCATTGCAACAAGCAGTTAATCAAATCTGTCTCTCTAATCCTGTGAGGTCAATTGGCCTGTATTTTCATGTCCTATATAAAACAGTCGTTTGTTCTGTGAAGGAACTCGCTATCAAGACAATAAGTTAATGTCTAAGAATAGTTTTTTAAACCAATGTAAGGAATTTGCATGGAATGTTCCCAGTGACAATTTTCCATGACTCTGTACCAAAAAGCCCAAAAGGTCGAAAGCTTGAAGCTTGAGTTTACCTATTACTTTCATAACAACGTCTATTTTCGGAAACTGTTTCATGAAGATTTTGTAAAGTGGAATTAGAGACTGATGTAAATATAGTTGTTAGAAATTATCAGTGTCAGTAAATATATGAAGCACTAGCAACATATCAACTGTTGGTGTGTCTTTATTGTAATGGTAACCTGCAAGCAGGAAGTAACTTCACTTTACTAAACATGGGAAGTTGCATGATATCACTATATTTAGAAGGCCTCTTGGACCCACAAAAGCACATTCTATTTGAAGACATATTTCACCTCACTTGCAACTTTTATATTGGCCAAGTGTGGATGAGAAATGTCTGAAAATAATGATTACTTGCAACACTATTCTACAATAAAACCCAGAGACAGGCCTTTTGTGAGTGAATACATAATTATTTTTGGGACTGTTACTTATTGCTGCCTCAACTCATTAGACCTATTAAATTGCTTATGTCTCGGTTGATTTACTGATTTCATAATTTAGTTATGTATGAATTGATACTGGGTTAACCTCAACATTTTAATTATTATTTTAAATACTTGTTACAATATGTTTGTAAAATATCATTGATTTCAAACTTCTGTATGCTAGCAAATGAATGTGACATTCACAATCTATTATCATACTCTGCATTTTGTAGAAAATATACCTTTGTCCAGGGTATGTTGAAAGACCCATGAAGGTCAAAATAAGAAGCATTCAAAACTCCAGAGAAGCTTACCAGCCTGGATGTTTCAGTAGGCATCATACAAATAATACACTTAGAAGAGGACAGTGTCAGTGTGAGGTAAAGATTTATAAACGCTTAGGCTCTGAATACATATAATTTTGATAGTAACAAACAAGCCCATTTAAATTGAAAAGGAGCCCCAGGGAGAGAGAACCTGAAAAAATGTAGACTCACTTTATTTAGGGCTTGGCAGTAGGGAAAATAATGTGGTTCAGGGACTGTGAGACAGACAAGTGTAAGGGAATAAAACTGCTTACTTCAATATTGCTGACAGAACTCTGTAGACTGTTACTGGATCCAACCAGGTTATTCTGGAAAGACAAAACATTAACAGGCAATGACAATGGTCATGTCATACATGCTGGCAAAGACATTTCCATTTACTGTATTAGCCATATAGGCACCTTGGATGCTAAAGTAAAAAAAATAAAACAATACCAATGTACTACTACTGTAGCTTATCTGGATATGCCATTCAAAATGTCAACAAACAAACACAAAAGCATGTTTCCGTCATATTTCTATTGACAGTAAGAACCAATAACAAATATTAAACTGAATTTCAACAAAGTTTGTAAATGGGACACAACCAACCAACTACAATAAATCAGCCATTATTAAGATGGTCTTACCTTTGCATTATTGGTGTCAGAGTAGGAGCCATTTGCAATACTGTCGAGAGTGTCTGCAGCACTCATCAAACCTGGCTGAAACCACAAAATTGATATGCTAATCACCTCAGACAATTTGTAACGAATCCTCACTTTAATGATAGTTTCAGTCTAATTCTGGTTTCCAAAACATGAGGCCTAGTCCCATGCAGAGGAACGAAAAGACTCAGGTTGTAAGGAAACCTATCACATCTATGAGGATGATGAAAGGAATCCTGACCAGGCAGAATAAATGTCTTGTGAGGAGGTTCCTGGAAGGCTGTATCTCTATTTGGATCACTTAATCATTCAGTGGCATATGAAGGGCCATGAGCTTTTACACCAAGGTTTATGTGGAAACATTGAAATGGTTTCCTATCTTATCTCTTCAATAACTTCTTGCGACAAAATATGGGAGAGCAGTTGCTGGTGTTGTAACAAGAGAAACTGGGAGGATGTGCAAATATGCATTGATAAAAGCTCCTGCATTCACACAACTCACAGTGTCAAGCACCGCCTCCGTGGTGTAGTGGTTAGAGCGTCCGCCCGGAGAGCGTCATACCAAAAGACGTTAATATATGGTACTTGTTGGTCCCTGCCTGGCACTCAGCATTAATGGGTACAACAAGAACTGGTCGGCTCAGAGTCTGAGTGGGGTATTCATGCTTCACTACGGCATGGTATCTCAGTTGGCTAGCACTATAAAACCAGCTTCAGTCTGGGCTAGTACAAGCAGCCGCACATACACATACACACGCATGCACGTTGTCATATCAGCGAAATATTCTCAAGCACGACGTTAAACCAAATTTCAGCTCAGCTCAGCACAGTGTCAAGATATTCAGCCTTGTCGATACAGCAAAGCTCAGACTATGATCTTGTCAAAAAGACACTTTTAAAAGCTTATGAGTTAGTGCCTGAAGCTTATCGTCAGGGACAATGAGACTTTTGTAGAGTTTGCTAGAGAAAAGGAAACTTTGTTTGACAGGTGATGTGGGTCTAAGGAAGTCACAGATTTTGATGGTTTGAGACAGTTAGTTTTGATGGAGGATTTCAAGCAGAGTGTTCATTCTGATCTCAAGACTTATTTGGATGAACATAAGGTTGATGACTTACATGAGGCAGATGATTATTGTTTGACTCACAAGAGTTCTTTTAGGTCTCCGGGTTATACTAAGATTTCTGGCCAAAAGGGCTTTTCCCCGGGTAAGACTTTAGGACATGCAGGTTACCTTGGTGTTAGAACAGGTTCAAATTCTTGTGACCAGCATTCACATTCTTTTCAGTCTAAGCCTAAGACTACCAGTGGTTCTGATCCTGTTTGTGCATATTGTAAAAAGCCAGGTCATTTGATTTCTGCATGTTACAAACTCCAGTATAAACATCAGGCTGCAGGTTCCCCAAATACTTTTGTGTCTATCGCACCTAAGCCTTTCTTTCCAGGTGGTTCTGAGGAGAGTTTTATTTGTGAGAGTAAGTCCCCAGATTCTGTAGTTCGGAAGGAGTATTTTCCCTTTGTTTCTAAGGGTTCTGCGTCGCTTATGGGAGATAATTCTACCCCATGGCCCATTATTATCTTGAGGGATACTGGAGCTCTTCAATCTCTGATTTTGAAGGATATTTTGCCTTTTTCTGATGAGTCTTCAGAGAACTCAGATGTTTTGCTTCAGGGTATAGGTGGCAATTCTTCTGCTCCTCTCCATTTTGTGAATTTGACTTCAGATCTGATTTCTGGTGAAGTGAAAGTTGGTGTTCTTGACTCTCTCCCAGTTCCAGGTGTCGATTTGTTGATCGATAATGATCTTATGGGGGCCAAAGTTGGTGCTGATCCCATTGTCACTGTTTCTCCGGAGAGTTCAGTTGGTACAGAAAAGTTGGAGGATGAATTTCCTGGTATTTTTCCTTCTTGTGCAGTGACTCATTCAATGTCGCAAGGCATTTCTTCCAAGACCTCTTTGCTGAATGATTCCATTTATGATTTGTCAGATACTTTCATGAATCATTCTTTTTGTGAGGTAAAGGCTGATGACTTATTATCAAAGAGTAGTAACTCTTCAGGTCTTCTTGATAAGTCTGATAGTTTGTCAGGTGGTGATCACATTCTTTCCAGAGAGCAGCTTTTTTAGTGCACAGGGTGAGGATGTTGAATTGCAGAAGTTGGCTAGTACGGCTGTTTCTTTTGAGGATGTTAGCAAGGTTCCAGTTTGTTATTACTTCAAGGATGGTGTTCAGATGAGAAAATATAGGTCATCAGATGTTCCCCCGGTGGATGAATGGAAATTGTATCATCAAATCGTGGTACCGAAATTATTTCCAAAGCATGTACTTTCATTGGCACATGAAAGTCCCATGGCATGTCATCTGGGTGTAAAAAAAACTTGTGAATTTTTTTTGGTACATATCTTTTGGCCCAGTTTGAGACAAGATGTGGCTGAATTTTGTAAAACCTGTCCTGCATGCCTATATCGGCTTTTGAGGAACCTTTCCGTAGAGTTATTATTTATTGCTTTGGTCCACTACCTAAGACTAAGTCTGGTAATCAGTATCTTCTCACTATCATGTGTGCTTCTACCAGATTTCCTGAAGCAATTCCTCTTCATAGGATTGTTGCTCCTGTGATTGTGAAAGCTTTGATCAAGTTTTTCACCTTAGTTGGTTTGCCAGATGTTGTTCAGTCTGATCAGGGCTCAAATTTTATGTCTAAGGTGTTTCAACAAGCTATGTACCAGTTTGGTGTTTAGCAAGTTAAGTCTAGTGCTTACCATCCAGTGTCACAGGGAGCTTTAGAGAGGTTTCATCAAACTTTGAAGAATATGATCAAGACATTGTTTTGAGTCAGAGAAAGATTGGGATGAGGGTGTGCATTTGTTGTTGTTTGCTGTCAGGGAGTCAGTTCAGGAAAGTTTGGGGTTTAGCCCCTTTGAGCTTTTATTTGTTAATAGTGTGCGTGGGCCACTCAAACATCTAAAAGAACAATGGCTCAATCACAATCCTGAGATCAATCTTTTAGACTATGTGTCTACATTTCGGGACAGACTCTCAAAAGCAAGTGAGTTTATCAGACATAACTTGAAAGTTTCACAAGCAAATATGAAACAAAATTATGACAGGAAGTCAAAGAGAGAAATTTCATTCATGGTGAGAAAGTGTTAGTCTTACTTCCCATTCCTGGTCAACCACTGAGAGCTAGATATCAAGGTCCATATGTTGTTGACAAAAAGGTTAGTGACACAGACTATGTCGTCCTGACGCCTGGCCATCGTAAACAAAAGAGATTGTGTCATGTAAACATGATTAAGAAATACCATGACAGGTTAGAAACCAAACAGGTCAATTGTATTGCCACACTCCCCCAGTTACTGATTGTACTACAGACAATGGTGAACATGTTGACAATATTGATGATGGTGTTAGCAATGTGAAGTTTGATGACCTTAGTGATAATGTTTCACTAGTTAAGTAAATCTGATGTGTTAGCTCATCTTGATGAGAAACTATCACATTTATCCCCTGAGCAGAAAGTTCAAATGTCAGATTTGATTCATGAGTTCTCTCATTTATTTCCTTATGTGCCTGGCCGAACTGATGCTGTCAGCCATGATATAGATGTAGGTGATGCTGTGCCTGTAAAACAACACCCATATCGTATGAATCCTGTGAAACGTGAGAATTCTGCGGAAAGAAGTGAAATACATGCTGGACAATGACATTATAGAACCCAGTGACAGTCCGTGGAGTTCACCATGTGTTCTTGTGCCGAAGAGCGGTGGAGGTGGTTGGCATTGCTGTGCTGACATGAAAGCTGTCAATGCGCTCTCATGAACTGATTCTTATCCAATACAGAGAGTGGGCGATTGCATTGATTGCATTGGTGAAGCTAGATATATAAGTAAGTTTGACTTATTGAAGGGCTTCTGGCAGATTCCACTAACAGACTGTGCAAAGAAAATATCGGCATTCGCTACACCAGATGGACTGTATCAATACAAAGTAATGCCATTTGGTCTGAAGAATGCACCAGCGACATTCCAGAGACTTGTCAACAATGTCACATCTGGTCTTGATAGTGTCGAAGCTTACATGGATGATGTCATCAATTAAGACATGGAGTTGGAAGACCATCTGAAGAGAACTCGTGCTTTCTTCGATAGACTGTCTGAAGCAAAATTGACGATGAATCTTGCAAAGTGTGAATTTGGGAAGGCACAAGTTGAATTTTTGGGGCATGTTGTAGGGCACGGCCAGGAACAGCCAGTTCATGCTGAGGTTGAAGCAATTGTACATTTTCCAGTACCTCAGTCTAAGAGAGAACTCATGAGATTCTTGGGTATGGCAGGCTATTATAGAAAGTTTTGTCAAAATTTCTCAGATGTTGTATCACCACTTACCAAACTTTTTGGGGAAAAGGTAAAATTCCAGTGGGATAGCAGCTGTCAGACTGCATTTGAAAATGTCAAAGCCATACTCATGAATTCTCCAGTATTGCAGGCACCAAATTGTGAGAAAGCATTTAACTTATTTTAAGCTACAAATTGATGCAAGTGATGTAGGTGCAGGTGCTGTCCTGATTCAAGAGGATGATTCAGGAATTGATCACCCAGTTTGTTATTTTCCCAAGAAGTTTGACAAGCATCAAAGAAATGATTCTACCATTGAGAAAGAGACATTAGGTATTTTGCTAGCTTTGCAGCATTTTGAAGTGTACCTAGGTACCACTACTTTGCCCATTGAAGTGTTTACTGATCACAATCCCTTGACTTTTCTTCATAAAATGAAGAACAAGAATCAAAGACTTATGAGGTGGAGTTTGACCTTACAAGGGTTCAATCTTGTGATTAGACACATTAAAGGCAAAGACAATGTTTGTGCGGATGCATTTTCCAGGCTGTAAATGTGTAATGCTATTTTTGCTGTATACTATTTTTAGCGGTACACCTTTATGATAGCGCTTCAGAGTTGCCTCCCTTGACTATCATATTTACGGCTTTCATCATGTTGTGTTTACGAGGTCTTCGTGAATGTTCTCAGTGGATAAAGAATGTTCTAGACTCTGTGTC